GTGTTACAGAATAGAAAGTTGTTCACTGTACTGCAGACTGGGTTGTACACTACCAGTTGCAAATGGGAAAGAGACCAGTTGGATAGTTAACCGCAAGTGGGTGTTATATGTGAAGCGGTCGAAAAAGCCGTAGTTCATAGAGAACACAATGGATCGGTATATAGACATTATTCGGCATACATTTAGACGGCAGAAGCTGAAAAGGTACGAAGGGGAATGTGAGGGTAACCAGTACGGACAGTGGTGCAGTGATTTAGTCGCTGTCACAAACGTACTTTGAACCCTATGGATGGAGTTTCGAATCTTGCCACCCAACTTTGGTGGTAGGCAACTCTGCTCTCGTCCGGTTCAATACCACACCTAACTTAGCGAGACCTTATGTGTTTTGTCAGTTCAAGTCCTAGGGCTTTGGTTTTCGGTTTCCATTACTGAATAGCAGGTCCTTGCGGCTACTGGTCACACCTCGCCCGTTGTTCATCGCAAAAATGTGCGTAATAAAAATTTATTAGAAAAGCCAACGCAAACCAGAGTTTTATATGACAGGGTGGACATTATATCACTGAATAGGCGGCTACGGATGATCAGCGGCGATACCCGAGGACAGGGTGGATTTTCCTTGGCAATAATAATAATAATAATAAATACACAAATATTTGTAGGAAGGATCTTGATGTATGCGAATCTGATCCGCCATCAAGATGGTAATCGTAATCCCCTTCCTATAAGTGGCACTTGGCTGTGAAAGGGCAAGCGTCTGTCACTCGACGAAAAACGATCGATTGATACTGGGTATGCCAATTCGCTCCGCATTCTCTTGATTCTTTATGGAGTCACACATGAGAACAGCACATTCTTACGTGAGGGAAAGTTCCATCAAAGTAGAAAACAGTTAGTTTACAAATGATAATAACGCATATCCTAAGGTCTAGTGGCATGCGTTGGACTACTGCACTATTTTCGGTATCAGCGTAACAACGCTCTCGTTTACGGTAATACAGTACGGTCAGTTCTGCCTCAAGAGGTGGTATTTTTAATACAAGTAGGAGGAGGCGGAGTGATCAGTACCCGTAGTGAATTTACGGGACGTATTGGAGGTAAATTTACAGCGTGTTCGGATGAATAAGCTTCATTAGTTAGGACATGTATTACACAGTCCCAGCAACCGTTTAACGCACTACACCCTACCTACAATTCACATTCCGGGGTGTAGGAATTACGTAGATGTAGAGATGAGGTATAAAGAAATACCTAAGTAGTTTGGGTATCATAGGTGTTTTCCGTATTCCGGGCCGGAGTCTGAAAGGTTTGGTCACTGGTTGGTTCCAGACACGACAGAGAATCAACAACAGTGGTGATCTCGATTTCGTTTTTCACAGGATCAGATTGTTTAAAGTGCTGTGCATGCATGATGAGGCCATGTGCCTGGTGTGCGCAGTTTCTTTTCCTCTCCTTCAAAACGGATCCATCTCCTCCCCGGGTATCCACCTTATGTATTTATAATTTGCAGAAAAAGTGAGCTTTACAACCGTAGGTAAAGCTCACTTCACTGTATTTCACTCTGCGTTAGTCATTATGATGATTATGACTGCGCCGTTAAGAATAATGATACTGCGAGAACCGTATGAGAAAATTTGTTTTACTAAATTTATTTGAATATTAGCTTTTTTCTGGACATAATAGACCGGACTAACCGCATAATGAAGAAAATTTCGGTGATACTGAGGTCATTGGCAACCTTTTTCACTCTTAAGTTTGTGCATGACTTACTACTGGAAGCTGTTCCTCGAGAGTAGTGTGTGACATCACAAGTGGTGGACCGGTGGTAACGTCACCAACTTATCACCTCGGGAATGTGTGTTCGAATCCCATCACAACCGCCTAACTCTACCCATTGTGTGTTGAACGGTAGCCCTTTGATTGGCCGCTTCACCCTTCCTGAAAATTTTATATTTGCATATTCAATAAAAGGAAGTAAAATGAAAAGAAAAACAGTTGCTGTGTCATGATTAGGCAGTGCTGGTGAAGTTTGAACGTGAAACTTTAGAGACCAAACTACATCACTAAACCTCAATAGACTGAACGAATAACACTTGCTATCACCAAAAAATCCGTATCATGTTAACAGAATTCAAATTCATCCACACATCAGAGAATCTATGCTCATTTCATTTGTGTTTCAGTTTCGCCACCATAGTATATCATAAAAAGACGAAAGAATTGATGGTGATTCACAAGAAACCCGAATTTTTGGCACCCTATTTTAACGGTGAGTAGGCTGTGTTTACCTAACCAGATCATATCGCACGTTACAGACACAGAGGTTCCGCCCCCGGTTGAGACCAAACGGGTTGATGTAAGTTCCAGGTCGCACCACACGGGCTTTGTTTGCATCGACTTCGCATCTTGCCTGCTCTCTTTCTCTTTTTTTTTTAGATCTTGTCATGTTTCATGCAACCATGTTTGTTTAACTCTGTTCTTAGGACAATATGGTTAGA